GGGGGGGGGGGGGGGGGGGGCGGGGGGGGGGGGCCCGCCGATCAGGCGCAGCTGGCCCATAGGCAGCAGCCCGCGGGCGGTAACCCCGGGACCATGATGCGCGGGGCCCGGCCGGCACGGGTCAGCACTGCAGCATCGCTCGCACCTTCGCAGCCCAGCTCCGAGCCGACGAGTGGCGACCGCACCGAGCAGCCTTCGCCGGCCAGGCTGGAGCTCGGGAGGGCGGAGAACAGGCGCGCCTGACTGGCACCCTTCAGAGCCTATAAGAGCAGCCCGCCGCATGGTAATTAGCCCCCCTTTTGTTGATCAAAAGCAGCCAATGGTGAGCCGGGGCTCCCCCGTAGGGCGGGGAGCGGAGGACTGCGGGAGGCGATTAGCCATTCTTATTGGCTAATGAGCCGTTAAAGAGCCGGGGAGGCGAAAAGGTTACGGAGCTGCAAGGCCGAGAGGCTGTTGGAGTTGATGCTTGGATGGTGGAGGCTGCGTTGCCGGGCCGGGCCGGCGCCTTCGCTCTTTCCCCCTGTGCTGCAGATACCCGGGAATCCTGCTCAAGTTGACCTGGCTCCACCAGGCTCTGTGGAAGGCGGCGGAGAGCGAGCCGAGTCAGCGGGCGGTGGCGGTCTTGAGGCCGCGAGCAAAGCTGCTTCTTTGACTAGATGGCGCCACGTGGGAAAGCGCGACTGAGCAGTGGCCAAAATGAGCCCTGCAAAGGCGGGGTAGGGTGGGAGTGGGGGTCGAGAAGAGGCTTTTCCGGCAGCTGGCCGGTGAACGCTCTTCCTTTGCGAACTGAGGGCAGAGCGCTGCATTACCATATAGGCGCCTCCCCACCCCCACACACACGCACACCCACCGTGGCAATTGTGCCCACAAAACACTGAACTTCGGGCCCAGTTGAGCCTAGGTTGTCGCGCGGAACCATTTTGGCCAGGAGTTTGCGGCCCTCTGCGACCGTGAGCAAGAGTCTCCCTGAGCTCGGTCAGCCTTAGATTAAGGCTGCAGAGACTTAGGGGTAATTCTGGGTCTCGACGCCTGTGTTTCCAGGCATCTGGACCCTAGTTAACTAACTTTAAGCCTAACAGGTTTTGCTAGTCCACTCAATTAGGGTGTCTCAGCAAACCATAGTTTTTAGTTATAGAAATAGGGCATGGGGTTTATATCATAGGTGCCAGAGCATCACTTTCATTGGGACTGCTGGGACCTTAACCTTTCGGATGCTAGACCATCACCCACCTCAACGGCAGTGCCCGCCTCTCTCTCAAGCATAATATTGTCCTGGCAGCACCATCAATAATATTTTCCCCACGCATTCATTTTTCCACAGACCTGGTTGGTGGAATTGGGTGGATCCCGAGTTCCCTTCTCCTTGCTGGAAAAAGGGGTAAAGGAAGACAAATGCTTCTAAGGTGCTCAGCCAGAGGAGCAGCTTAAGGTCTAACTCCCACCAATATCCCTGTGACTACTCAAAAGTAGATCCAGTTAGTTCAGTAGGACCTTCTCTTATGTCAAGGCTGCCCATCCCGAGCCTTCCTTCACTCCACGCAGCTCAGAGCGTGTTCCCCGGAGAGCCCCCATTGTCCGGTGCCCCTGGTCTCCACTGCAGTCCTCTGCTTCCTCTTGTCTACCCTGTAAGGCCTGCTCGTCTCCCACCTTGGAACTTTGGACATGCAGGAAGGCTGCTGGCCCTTCTCCCAGGTAATTTAGGAAGCGCTTGCGCCTACCCAGCCCACATACAAGAGGCACAAGATCAGGCCGACCGCGCCCGACACCGGAAAAGAGGCGCCCGACACCGGAAAAGAGGCGATTTGATCCTCCCCAGTGAATCTACCCTTCATTGATTCTCCCTGAGCCTCCCCAGCCCCAAAACCTGAAGGACTGACATTTCTCCTCCTCTTCCTCCTTTTCTTTATATCTCTCTTTTCTCGCAGGCCAGAGTCTCTTATTAATTGCTCTTACTTGTTGGCCTTCTGACACTTGCTTGGGAGTCTAGGAAAAGCAGCCCTTTTCTCTTCCATTGCCTCTGACTCTCATTTCTAATTAATTAATTACAAATCTAAATTAGGATAATTTAGGATCTGCCGTACCAAGATAGTTTTTTTCCACACATTTTGCAAGGAAATGGATCATCCCAAAGGGAGATGGTAGTTTCTTCGGGTGAAAGAAGTTCAGTTCATACAGTATAGGCAAGAACGGTAGCCCTGATCATCTGAAAGAGATGTACGGTCTTGTAGGCTTGCACGGCATCCAGAGGTCAAGATTGAAGTTCCATTTGGCTCGCCAGAACTCAGCTTCCTTGCTAAAAGCTGGGGTGAGAGTAGCTAGTAGGGCTAGCATGCCATTTCTCCTTTAGTGACTTATTGGGTATTCTAGCGTCACTCAGCCAGGTATCAAATCTGTTTTCTTTGCCCGGTGGCAGGATTGACGCTTTAAAATGCTATAAAATCTTGGTTCTTTGGATCAAGTGAAGACAAGCTAAAGCGTGAGAGACAGTCCGGTTTGTTTCCAATTTCACAGGGGAAGGAGCTTCACAGGTGAGAACATTTAAATGAAATAAAACAAGCCTTAAGGTTTTGGAAGTGAAGGAGGGATATGCCACCACCTTATCATAAAAGCGTAGGAAAAGTCCCGTGGCTGAATCGAACTTACATTAGCAAATGCAACACTGAAAAAGAAATGCGCTGATGTCATATGAAAGCGTCCCTCCCCCTCTTCACACCTTGCAGAAGGGAAACTCCGATTTTAGGCATTTTCGGCATATTCCACTAAAAGCCTTGAGACTTTGTTCTGAATAGCACGTTTACACGTCAGGAATCAGTTTGAAGGGCTGAAGGATTTCCTGTGAGTCTGAATTCAAACCCAAGGTCCCGATTCACCCCTTGCAAGTCAGCCTCAGACTAATGGTCCATAAAAACCTGCTTAAAATGGGAATCCATCAATCATACTTGCGAAGGAAACCTATTTGCATGCGAACCAGATGCGCAGCTGTGTATGTATAGAGGTTGAAGTGAGTCCCAAAATACTGCAAAAGGAGAAGATGAAAATGTGTTAAATCAGTTCCCACTTGTTAATATTGTGATTCATTATAGTTTAGGTGCATTATTGGAGTGGCTGACAATCCTGGAAACTTTTTTAAAAATAAATGGTGGAAACTTATTGTATATAAATTAAATACACAAATTAGGAAACTAATGTTTTACTAAGATCAAAGAATACTTTTTTAAATTGACTCCCTTTGTTGTATGTAGTCTAAATGCTCTGGAATGTTGGAGCTAACCACTCTACACTTTTAAACCTGGAAAATAACGTTTTTCATGCTGCCGATGGCATAAGAAAAAGCTGGTGAAGAAGGGGCACAGGCGTTGCTTTCCTTTGTCTTGTCCCTGGAAATTAATTATTCCTGTGACAGATTAAGATTTCGATTATTTTTAGCCTCTCTCTTAATTCTGCCCAAGAAGAAATTGAGGTTCGTTAAGCCTTTGTTAGTTGAGATAAGGCTTTAGGAATTCTCAGCAATTTCTTCTTTATTTTTGCTTTCTTTTTTGAGTTTTCAGCAGGAGAAAAAAAAACCTCAACGGAACTGAATTGGGCCGACTTCCGAGGACACGTGGTTTGGATCGTGCAGGACAAGGCACTTAGTCGACGATCCGAAGGGGACGCCGGCAGCCAGATCTTTACCATGTTTCCTCGGGAGTAATCCCAGTGTCTCGCCTGCCTTCGACGGATTGCGCGGCTTTGACCGACTTCTGCTGAGAGCAAATTTGTGAAGTTGAAGAAGCCGCTGACGGAGCCATTCCGATTCCGTCATACACAGGAGGGCACGCCGCCTAACGGATTGTGCTGGCCGGGCGCTCCGGAGTTCAGCAAACAGCCAGGAGTTTAAAGAGAGAAAAACTCAGAAAAGCCGAAGGGTAGAGAGAGAAACTTTTCCCTCCCCGCTTCAGAGTTTGTCTTCCTCGTTGCTCAGGTAGGAAAAGTCGGGAGCTGGACCTGGGACTTAGCACTACTCGGGATGAATCGGAGCAGAACATCGAAAGTTTCTCGATCTCGATTATCTTACAAGGGCAACAACAAGATTTCCTTCCCTCTTCCCCCCTTGTCATAAATTATGTTCTTAGACTGAATGAACTTTAGGACACTAGGAGTGGATTTTTAATCAAAAGGGGCCCGTTTGTTTCTGACACCCCCAGCAAACCGTAGGGTGAGTGAGCGGAGGGAGAAGAGAGAAGAAAGTTTTCTCGCAGCCTCGCTGGCATGCAGACCGCTTGGGCAAATCCAGAGTTCATTTCTCCTTCGACTTCGGAGCCCGGGATCTAAAAGGCTCCTCAGCCAAATTGCGAAGACGGGCAGTAAATCTCTTGGCCACCGATGCAGGGGGAAGTGGGGGGGGGGGGGACGCTTTCCGAATTCTGTCCTTATTCAAAAAACGCGAAAACTTGGGTGGCGGGCAAATCTTCTTCCCTACTTAGAGATTGAACCCTGCGTACCAGGTCATCAGTTTTGGCTTAAAAAAGTTCACGTTACAATTCGTTATTATCTCTGGGCTGGAATCGAAGTGAATACAAGTCGGGTTCTGGCTGGTCTTTCTAATCTGGCTGTTACCATTTCACTATGCAAAACAAAAAAGATACACATTTGGAAAGAGATGAGGAAGGGAATAACTGTACGCATGTGTGGGGGGGAGGTGGACGGTAGATTTTCTTGCAATACTCTGGAGCAATCCACAACACTACAGCGGAAAATAATATTCCCCTTTCCCGTACTCTCTTTGGGGCAAGGAAAGGGAGGATAAGATTTTCCCGGATCGCTCAAACTTGGCCGCAGGGGAACTTGCGGATGTCATCGACAAAGCTGTTAATTGTGAACAGAGATTCTCTTGGAAGAAACGCGTGGAGTCCTTCCGAAGTGCCACTGGAAC